GGTTTACTTAAATAAAACTTAAAAATAGAGTGAATAACAAAGATTTCTTGCCGATACTCTAATAAAAAAGAAATATATTCAATGAATAGGATAAGATCCATCGAGTTCTCTTCGAATTCCTTTGTGAAAGAGTAGAATGAGAAAGCTAATGAATCTTAAACCCATTGATAAAAATAAAGAAAGAGCATCAATAATAATAATAATATAGTATAGTTAGGGAGTAAAAGAGGATTTGGGGATAGAGGGACTTGAACCCTCACAACTTATAAAGTCGAAAGATTTTCCTTTTACTAGAAATTTCATTGTTGTCAGTATTGACATGTAGAATGGGACTCTCTCTTTGTCCTCGTCCGATTAATCCACTTTTTAAAAGATCTCGAAAACTTTTAACTTGAATTGAAGAATTTGATTATTCAATATTTAATTGGAGTGGATTCACAATAATGAAAAAAATTATGATATGAGTTTTTTATTTCATAATCATTATCATTTCTAATTTCATTTTTAAAAAAGATAAAGAACCTATATTATATATAATTATAATATAATATGAGTTTTGTGATTAATCGTTTGGTACGTCAGTATCTATACATGTTTATTAAATGTATAAGGTATAAAACCCCTCTTTCTCTAATTTAGAATTAGAAGGAATTCCACTAACAACACAACGTAATTAACTCGATTCATTAGAACAACTTCCATTGAGTCTCTGCACCTATCCTTTTCCTTTGTATTCTCGTTCGAGAACCCCTTGTTTTCTCAAAACAATGATTTGGCCTTTTTTAATTCTAGGGTTTCTCTGGATTTGGAAGTTACCACTTAGCAGCTTTCCATACCAAGGGTCAATACAATCAAGTTCGTAGCGTCTACTGATTTCGCCATATCCCCATTTCCCTCTTCTTTGAGACCAGGATTCCTTGTGTAATTTCATAACTTAAAATTTATTTTTATAAGTATAACTTCAAATTTAGAACTAGGTAATAGCTAAGATTAATAACTAATATCTGAGATTTTATAGACTTCCTATACTATACCTATTTCTATTTGTTACACTATTTCCGTTATGTAAGCCCACTTAGCTCTGAGGTTAGAGCATCGCATTTGTAATGCGAGGGTCATCGGTTCAAAATCTTTATTTTTTGTATATATACAAAACAATTAAATAAATAATTTATATACAAAAAATAAAGATTTTGATGAAATTCCATTTTTTGGGGTACTTTAGTTGATTTTACTCTGTTTATCATGTAGTTTAATTCATTTTTCATTTTGATCTATTCTGTAATATAATACAATGAAATTAATTGTGTAAAATGAAATTTCAATAAAATAAAAATGCAGTCTTCATGTCCTGTTATCGAGGACCTCGTTTAAAAAAGATACACCGTCTGGGAGCTTTACTAGGACTCACTAGAAAAACACCTAAGTCCGGAAGTAATCTTAAAAAAATTTAATTATGGGGAAAAGGAGCAATATTGTATTCATCTTCAAGAAAAAGAGAAATTGAGTTTTCATTATAGTCTGATGGAACGACAATTTCTTAGATATGTACATATCGCTGGAAAAGCAAAAAGGTCAATAGGCCAGGTTTTACTACAATTACTTCAAATGTGCTTGGATAATATCCTTTTTCGATTAGGTATGGCTTCAACCATTCCTAGGGCCCGCCAATTAGTCAACCATAGACATATTTTAGTTAATGGCCGTATAGTCAATATACCAAGTTTTCGTTGCAAACTGCGAGATATTATTACGACGAAAGATAACCAAAGATCAAAAGGTCTGGTTTAAAATTACATTGCTTCATCGGAGCCGGGGAAATTGCCAAAGCATTTGGTGATTGACACGTTGGAATATAAAGTACTAGTAAATAAAATCCTACATAGGAAGTGTCGGTGTACAAAAGTAGGGGCCTTCTGTATCCCCCTACTTGTGCACGGGCAGTTGTAGCCACACCTGCGGCCACACTTGGCAGGGCAGAAGGAGCAAGGAACAAGACTACCAGAGCAGCGCTGAGACCAGAGGCGTGAAGAGTGAAGGGAACAAGATTGGCTTCCCCCAGCAAGAGCCTTGCCCGGGCGGCCTACGTGGCCCCGGCAAGATCCTTCCAGGGCAACTTACCCAACACTAGCAAGACCGCCACCATTGAGCCTGAGGGTCATGACGCTATCGACAATGTCAAGACCAAGGCTCGGGAGCGCCTGCATGGTGGCATGCAGATCTTTGTGGAAACCAAAGGCCTGTAAGCCTAGATGAGAACCAGAAGATGAAGGCCCCTCGGCAAGACCCTTGCCGGGGACGCCCACAAGACCCTGGCAAGATCCTTGTTGGGGCCCCGACAAGACCCTTGCCGGGGACATCTGTGGTGCCATGACCAGGCCCACACTTACCAAGGTTTCACTGCCCCATGGCCGTTCTGATGTAGCAGCCAGCCTGCCAACTAGGCACGCACCTACGTGGAGCATGCAACTTCTAGGCCAACTAGGCAAGCACCTACATGGTGGCATGCAGATGTTCGAGAAGACTCTGCCACTGCACCAGCGCAGCAGCCAGCCAGCCAACATGGCGCTGCATGCCTCGTCAGCTTGGACGCGCATCGAAGCGAGGCGAGGCGGCGACAAATGAGATGACCTTCCTTGCTGTCCCCGATAAAGCAAGAGGACACGTCGGCACCGCATTAAATGTGTTTGTCCTATGATGTGAGGAGATAAACTTGTAGACTCTAGACACTTTCCACCTCCGGTGTGCCGCTGTGGCAGCGCCTTTCACATATAAAAGGAGGCCCGAGGCGTACCAAGGAAGGATTCGGACTTTTTTGGCTAGTCATGCACCGCAGCTAGTTCAAGAACAAAAGAACACCAAATATACACCAAAGCAGGACTAGGGTATTACGCATCGTTTGCGGCGCAAACCTGGATAAAATCCCCCCCCCCGCCCCCGTGTTGATCTTCTAAACCCGCTCTTTCCATAGCCCGTGCCCAGTCAACCGTAGTAGGGATTCCTTGTGATCCCATAGGTGTCATCTCCCCGACAGGAAGTGTGTCGGTCTCAAAATAAATGAGTTGTTAGTTGTAGAATATTACTCTCATCGGACTTGAACTTAACAAAAAAGGAAAGGTTCATAGAATTTTCTTCTCCTTCCCATTTCCCTGAACTAAATCGCCGTAAGACCATTACCGTTAATTCGTATTTTCCCATCAACTAGCTAAAATTGATTAACCCTAGGATTAGGATCCTTTTTTTTCTTTTTTCCTCTATGTGTACTTTACATACCA